CAGAGAGAGAGAGAGAGAGAGAGAGAGAGAGAGAGAGAGAGAGAGAGAGAGAGAGAGAGGCGTGGAAGAAGGGGAGGAACACTCACCTTCGGCAACGGGGACGTCCAAGGCGGYGGCAGCTCGCGAGAGATTCGAATGAACTCCACGGCGGATGGCAGCAGTGGAGGAGCGCTGTTTTTTGCGCGGCGGCCTGGAAATGGTCGAGTTTGAATTCGAATTCTCACGGCCTCCCCGCACGAGGGCATCCTAGGAGGATGCATCCATCGCAAAAGGGCATTTCGAACAGCCACCACGGGCATTCTGAAAATTTGTGCCACTCGCTGACAGGGGCCTGCAGGAAAGTTCGGAGGTCCCAGGGGCAAATCAGGGTAAGTCGGCCGTCGGAGGGGCAAATCGCAAATAAACGCAAACTTCGGGGGCATTTCGAAAATTTTCACTATATTCTAATTCTAGTGTATATTATTCTAGGGTGTGTATATTATTTTTTCAAGTCATATTCTATCTTTCAATTTCTTTCATCAATCAAAATCAAACAAGCAAGAGGATCTTGAATCTCAGATAAATCTAATAGCCACAATTTATTCGTTTTTTTAAATAGAAAGTATGTTTGATTTTGGTTTACCATTCTCCTCCATCTACTGAATGCTTTGCTACAGCAGAGCTCACCGCTTTTTTCCTTTTTCTTTCTTTTTTGTGCCACTTACCATCTCCGAAGCCGAAGCAGGGAATTTCATTGTCATCATCAAAGCTGTTAAGCATGTGTCCGATGATGGACGTTGCCTCCATGTAGGGGTTGGGCTCCCCACCAATCGCATGGAGTGAGCGCCCACCAAAGCACGACCGCCCTGCAGAGGTTGGTCAGATTCATGCACAAACCCACAAGGAATTTTGCACAGATCCATGCACACACATCAGTAGAGGCAATCACCACTGTGATAGAGAAAACAAACAAAGCATCAGGTGGTTGGCACAAGGACGTGTCTCTCTCTCTCTCTCTCTCTCTCTCTCTCTCTCTCTCTCTCTCTCTCTCTCTCTCTCTCTC